AGGGAAAGAAATAATTTTGTTCAGAAAATGGTAACAAAATATGGCTAAATTTTAAGGTGAGTATATAAAAAAGTATTTAGAGAAGTACACCCATTATATAAAAAAGACACATACATTGAGAAAATAATGGAAGGAAATATTGCAGATACTAGCTGTGACTTTTTCTTTTAGTAAATCCTGAGAGTTTAAATATCGTTTACATTTGATTCAGAATATTTTCATATTGTGTTTGGTCAGGAAAATCATAACACATTTTTACATAGAAAAAAATATATCATGACTTTTCTATCGCCCCAGTACTTTTGAAATACAAAGTGGTCAAGTATTTTTTAAGTCCGAAAAACTTGTTACCAAGATGCATCATAATGACTTAATCTAAGTTCATAATACCATTGGAGAATGAGGTTGGCAGTCTACAACAGGACAGCTAATAGAAAAGCTTACTCTCAGAGTATTTCCTCTGCAGAAGGATGGCATGCTTCATTTCAAATAGAATTGCTCTTATACATTAAGCTTTTTGCCACTTTCTCCAAAATATGAATGTGAATTCTCTTAGATAGTTAAGACTATAATTTTTTTTTCTTTTTTTTTTTGGAGAAGTTTTTGCTATAGGGTGCATGCACTCGCCAGACAGAGAGAGACAGAGAGACAGAAAGCGAGAAATCACCCCCCAGGGGGCATGGCCATTCCACAATCCCTTCTCTTCCATTCTCCTCTTGGGATCTTGGGCATGCACGCACATGCGCCCGGCATGAGTTTAAGCCACCGGGTCTAAGACTCGAACCGTGGTCAACTACGTGGGAGTCCAGCGACATAGCCATTATGCTAACTGTTGGTCCCCTATAGTTGAGACTATAGACTGAAAAATGTTTTTAAAAAGTACACCTTGGTTGGGCCAGCAGATGGCGTCCTGGTTGAGGTGCTGGACTCCCACCAGGCTGACTGCAGTTTGAGTCCTGGACTTGGCAATTTGCATTTTCACTTTCCTTCTGTCTTTGTCTCTTTCTGGTGAGTGCATGTGCCTTATAGCAAATTTAAAAATAATAACAATACATAAAATTTTGTAGAGTTCCTCTTTTTTTGTTTGTTTGTTTGCCTTAAGGCACATATGCTCACCAGAGAGAAACAGACATTGAGAAATCATCTCATAGGGGGAATGGCCACGTTGTAATCCCTTTTCCTACATTCTCTTCTCAGGATCTTGGGCATGTATGCACACATGCCTAGTGTGAGTTTTAAGCCCGTGGGTCTGGGAATTGAACTGTGGCCGGCCATGTGGGAGTCCAGCAACATAACTTCAGGCCCCCAATTAAGTGACTCTTAAAAGAAAAATAAAATTTGTGACCAGAAGATGGTGTGGAGGTTAAGGTGACTGGATCCCACATGGCCCACTACATGATGAGTCCTGGACCCAGTGGCTTGAAAAACATACCAGCACATGTGTGTACCCACCCAAAATCCCAAGAGAAGAAATAGGATAAAAGGGATTGCAGTGTGGCCATCCCTCCTGCAGGATGCTTTCTCACTTTCACTCTCTATTTGTCTCTCTGGCAAGTGCACACACCCTATAGAAAAAGCAAGGGGTATCAATGTCTTAGGTTGAAATGCCAGATGACAAAGGCATGCAGAGGCACACCATGGGCTCAACAGTGCCTTTTCAACCAGTTCAGTCACCAAGCTACACCTTGAGCTTACCTTTCCCTTCACCGTGCATGGCAACCACTCCTTGGTTTTCCTAATAATAACGAGGGAAGTGATATAGACAAGTTAGCAATTGTTTTTGAGGGATGATACTGTGAAATGATAGTGATTATTTAACATGGCTGTAGCTCGAATCAGTGTTCTCTATTCTGAGGTAATATGTGTTTCTGCCTAATTAAACACATCGGTAAGAAACTCTGCTTTGCTTTGCTTTGCTTTGCAAGGTGTATAAGCAAGTAATGACTATCTTGGTTAACAAGGATCTTCTAATTTTTTATCTCAGGGCTGAGAAGAAAAATTGCAGTGTGACACTGTAAATCACCAGTTCTTTCTAAATCACTGCCCTTTTATGTTCCAATGTGAAGATAAACTTTAATATTGAATGAATGTGGCTGGTTTCATGGGAATAACCTCTTGTACACTGTCTCTGTAGAGGTTAACTAAGTTTGGCTAGATAAAGGCAGTGTTGTCATCAAAATACAGCTGTATGGGGATAACAGATTGACATTACTCAGGTCCAGCTGAACTAGAGAACTGACTGAAAAAAATGAAAGTAGCCCTGCTATATGACATTGTTAGAAGACAGCTTAATTTGAGTTTGGCAGAAATACAGAGCTAACATCTGCTATCACATGCTCGAAGCATGAATATTTCCTTCCAGGAAACAAGTGATGCTGATTTTTTTTTTTTTTAATACAGCAATCATGGGTACTCCCACTTTCTATCCTAAAATAATCTTTCTGAAAGAATCCATGGGGTGACATTGTAAAGAAAAGGGTCTTATCTTTGAATTAAATTATTTGTAGCTTTAGACCTGCACTCTAACCTGTGATCTACATTAGCACAAGAAAACTGCTTTACATCAAATTTTAATGAAATCAAAATGTTGATGTTCCCATTGGTTTGGTGTGAAGGCCAACTACACAGAGGAGCGATCCGATCAGTTCTCTCAGGAACATTATGTGAGGGGACTTCAAAACTTTTGTGGGAAAATGGAATTAAAGTCTGAGTTTATTTTGGTGCAACAATTTTGAAACCCATACCTAGTGTTTTCATAATACACATTTCTTATAGTTAGTTTCTCCTATAGATGAAGAAAGCGAATAATGAGTCTAAGATAAATATCATCAGCTTCGCACTGAGGAGTGATGATATCTTTATGATGGAGATTGGAAGTAGCCTATTCAGTTCTAGCCAAACACACTTTGACATGTAACGATTATAAAAAATGAGCCACATATTTGTAGGGAATAAGTGTGGTATTTTCCACTTTTAACAGCTGACTTGGTGACTTGCAACACTATTGGCATACCATTTCCAAATAAATGATACATTTCAGCATATAAATTCTTGAGTTAGCATAGTGTCTTAATAGCTGAAGGATAGGTTGGAAAATCTATTTTAATCTTTATTTCTCTGGCGTGTATTTACATCGTGGAAACATCTGTTTCAATTGTTGTGGGATAATGTCAGCTTATTGTGGGGCAGGTAGGAAGCCAGGGCATTTCTGTAAGCCTTCCCATGAGTTCACATTTTGATGCCTTCCTCCAGCTCTTCCCGAACTTTCTCGATGGCCATTGTAGACAGGCTAGAAATTATTCATTGACTTCCATGACTGCCTTGTGGAAACTTTTATAATTATCATGACTCAAACCTTTGAAAAAGTATTTGCTCATCAGATCTTTTCCAGATCTCAGAATGGACTCTTTGAAAAAAAACATTTGTTCGTCAAGCATATTGCCATTGTCATTACAGCTTCAATAAATTATGTATGCCGACGGAAAATGAACGTTTTTTTTTTCACGTAAATTCACCCGGCCTTAATATTTTCAGACGTCATTTATTTACTTGAGGAATGACTTGATGAACAAAAGAGCTAACGGTTAGCATACTCATTTTTTAAAAATAATTATTTAATTTGTATTCATTATCATGATTTTTAAAATTTACCATAG